CTCGAAGACCGCCAGATTCAATCAGTGACGTCGACGAAGAACACCCACGACTCGTATTCTTCCGCCCCAACGTCAGCGAACCGCCATCACCGCCGCCAGAGTCGGCGAACGCCGCCACCAGAAGGAACCTGCGCCTCACTTGCCAGCCGTCTAGGTACAACCCAGCTTTGGTCCAATGCCCTGTAAAATATAATATAAATATAAATTCTCATTATTATACAATTTTCTGCGATTTCCCCTCTTTTGTTTATTCGAATTCACCTGCCCATGTGTGAACCCACATGTGATTCAAAAAGGTGTGAAAGCTGCATGCGATAGATCAGTAATATGTGAAGCTAGATCATTGAATGATTTCTCATCCCTTTAAAGTTTACCTTATGAATTCATTGATTAATACTGAGCATATGTTCAATATATGAAGCAAATACAAACGCAAAACGAAACTGAAATAGAGGAAATAATGATTAACAAGATAACAATTTGAAAAGCTTTCAATCAAAAGATAATTCCTCAATATAGTATATTCAGGACTGGAGAATGACGATTTATTATGCACCAAAGTGGTCACTTTCTAAAAAGTTTGGCATACGAACTCGTCTTTAGCCATTTTGCAAATTTTAGCCTGGACAGGGGTGCTGCCCAAAAAAAACCTCTTCATTTTGTAAGAAGCGGGGATTTATGGTAAATATTTTAGCAGAAGACATGCAGTTAAATTCGAATCTTGCTACAAACATGTGATATACTTTGACACATCCTTATTTGAAAAAAAAAATTCAAGATCTCTTATTTGCAATAGCCACAAGGTCATTCGAATAATACAGTGGGAAGAGGGTTGAAAGGAAGCTGTTTTTCCGCCGCTAATGGCTTCATTGTAACGAGATTTCCTAGTATAATAATTACTAATTCAAGGTAATTACTCTCGCGGATAAAAGCCCACACACTGCGTACCTTACAACTGATGGTGCTTGTGTGCATGCATAAAATATGGGTTGCACACGCATAGTGCCCTGGTTTGATGAACCCGGCTTCCCAAACCCGTTTTTGTGTTGCTGCCCTGTGTTTGTGTGTCCCGCAGGCAACATTCGTCAGTCCTGGGCAACGCGAAACGCCCGACGTGCCTCATAAATCATTTCCTGGGTATCGGTACCCTGTCCCGCGGGCAGACGTTTTGCGTCCCCCCTTCTCACGTGTCGCAATGGTGTCAAGTGCTGAGGAACCAGTCCCGGAAGGGGCGGGGGGAGCCAGGAAATCTAGCCCTGACAAATGAGTTCCCTGCCGAACCCATTACCCACTGACTTCCTTGGCGCGTTTTTGGCACATCAGGGCCAATGCCGCGTTGACGAATTACTGCGCAATAAACCGACACCAGCATGGGGTCTTTCCACAACCACATGTTATTGGGTTACACTTCAAACCAGTGTTCCCCCAATCTTTTTGGGTCCGCAAACCAGCAAATTTCCATAAAAAAAATTTTTTGCGGAGCGGCAAATTCCCCCAAAAATTGTTTGCGGACTAGCAAAGCTTCATTAAATTTTTACAGACTTGAAAAAAAATTCCTTGGTAAACCTCATTGTACTGTATGGATGCAAAAGTGTCTGCTTATTGCCAAAATTAACTTAAGCACATATGAAACAGATATAGCTGAATGTCATCAAAAACTTAGAAAGGTGGACTTGAGGAAAAGTTTCTCAGAATGAAAAATGAAAATTATTTATTTCAGCAGTTAAAAATGTGATGGAAGTGTCATTATTAGGAGAAAAGCCAACTTTTATTTTTCATCAATTGATTTCAACTGCCATTTTCTTTCCAAGGTTTTAGATACTGATAACAGAGTTCATTGCTATTTGTGATAAATGTATTATTCTGAAAAATTTCAGCTGACTGGCGCAGGTCCGCAGACCACGGGTTGGGGAACAGTGCTTTAAACTATATTATAGTCTTTTCAATTGCAAATGACACATGCCAAACAGATTTTCTCATGAATACTTGAGACCAGGAGTTCTTGACCTATTTGACTTTTGAATCCATTTTAGAAATTAATTTTTTTTGGACGGATACCGGGAACATTAGTAATTTTTATTTGCTTGGCATTTGTTTTTTTTCGTGAAATAGCTGATTTCGATTGGCATTCCACATACTGTTCTGAAGCAGAAGACGCGGACCCCCTGCTATTTTACATTTTTTTCATCATGATGCGCAGATCTGAAAATCGACTGTTGCAATTAGTAGTTATCTCTTGGATTTTTAAAAATAGGTTTTGTATGTACGCTGAAATTGCTTTTAAAGTAAAGGAGCTTCGCTGAAGGTCAGGCTCCGAATAAAGGAAATTAACCTCATCAAAATAAAACTGAGGCTGGTGTTGGGAGTTAATATTGATTCGATGGTTATTTGCAGAGTTCAAAAACACGAACATCCAAGGAACATATTCTTAAGATAATACGCAATAATTTTGAAGCATCCCTCATTAATGTTGTTTATTATGACCAATACAACCACATTTTATCATCACACGTCTTTATTCTTCTGAGCAATTGAATGCCTCTGCAACAAAGAAAACGCCTACACCAGATTTCGTCTCAATACGCGCAAAAGCCTTAAAAAACGTGACCAGAAAATTCAATCAAAATCCTATAGTCACATGTATGAACACGGTGGCACAAAAAACTGTCTTAAAATTCAAATAAACTAGTTCCTCGAACTGTTTATTTTATTCTCATCCTGCCACATTGAACTCTTCGTATTAACAGCCAAATCTTGCTAAATTTTGTGATCTTATTGAACGAAAGTTTTTGGACGTGCTTTGTACACTTGAATATCCGAGTGAATTATCTTTAAAAATTTGGGGTGTGTTTGTGATTTGAAGTATTTTATAAAAATCAGAAATAGAGACACACCCCTTTTGATGGAAATGGGTGTTATTGTTTCCTCAAATTCTTGGTAGAAGAATTAATTACAGTATGTTGAGTATGCGGTTTGCTAGGGATTACATTTTTAAATAGCACATTATGTTGGATAGAAACAAAAACTAGGTTCTAATTTTTTAGTCTCATCTGTTGAACTTGATTGCATCGTCAAGCAGTTAGTCTTCTGAACATAACACTCAAGGATGGTGATTTTCAAATGGAAATATCTTCCTTTTCATTGAACAGTAAATCTGGTTCACCTTCCATTATCATCCCAACCTTTCATATTTGCCAATTTCAGAGATTTTGGTGCTGTTGCATGAGTGAAAGTGGGTTTTTACTTCTTCGCAAGGTACCTGGTAAATCGTTATTTCTTGAATTGCAGAGGACTGTCCAACGTCCTCGTTGGGTTGTTTTATGAACATGAAAAGACATCTGCCAAGGAAATGAATGAACAGGTGTAAACAAGGGAGAGATTTGTACCCACACTCGAGTTGAGTGCTTTAGGAAAGCAGACAGCAGCCCGGCGACCTACGGGCTCTCATCAGGAAATGAGTACTGGGGAGGCGAAAGCTTCTTTCGTCCAGCCAGAGGTGCTCAAGATGGCAGTTTTCATTACTTTAACATCCAGACCACACACACACACACACACAACATATAGACTCAAACACACAGGACAAAGAGAGACTGAAAGTGAGGACAGACAAAGCGAGAAACACCGAGAGAAAGAGAGAGATTTGTCAGAGGCCATTTGCTGTGTGTGCTGCTGCTGGTTACAAACACAACTTGGCTGTTCACTGGCTCGCGAAATGCATGAACACTACAGCTCCTTGTGGCTGGACCGCATTCATCATGGATGCGACTCGGGGATGAACTTTTCTTTGCTTATATATCTGAGAAAACATTCCATTCTATTCCTCTTTTTCCATCGGAAATGGAGAAAAGAATTCCCGATTTCGAGGCTCGAAATAGTCGCCGAGATTCTTGCGATTTTTTTTATTACATAGACATCCTGCATTACATAAAGCCGAATGTAGTTTTTCGTTTTTGACCATCATAAATTGATAATAAGCCAGAAATGAGACGCTGTTGCAATCGCTCATGTGCTATTTCACAAAGTACAGTATTGAATTATATATGGAGCATAATCCATTTTTTTACGCCAGAGTTCTTTTGTATTTCTATAGTTGTATGTTCTGCAGGTTTCGGAACAGCAAATTCATCCTTCTGCTCTGAATATCAATGCATGATCAAAAAGGTAACACGCTTTGTAAAATACTGTATATACACATCAGAAGGTCGGCAAATTCAAAATAAAAAAAATTACGAGGTCAACCACTTAATTTCTCTAAAAAATTATGAAATACCGATGAAACAAAAAGGATATCAGATGATCATCCGATGCGAGACTATGATTCGAAGGGGTAAATCAATCATTTTGAAGAATATAAAAAGAAGCCCATGCATGCAATTTTTTCCAAAAATCCCATTTCAATATACTCATTTTCCTAAGAAAGAGTGCCATTTAAAAGTTGTTGCATATTTAAACCGGCTGATATTTTCCCAATGCAAACGGAACACTTGAAACTGAATCAACGATTGTGATGAAGCATGTGATGCCACCTTATACCAGGTGCAATTTTATTGCAGAATACCGTATACAGTATTATGCAATGGTCATGACAGTAGCACCGAAAATGCATCTACAGTATAACCATACAATTCTTTGCAAAAAAGTTGAATGAACCTTCGACGCCACATTTTTTCTCAAATAATAGTTCGAGCCATTGGACGGACAACATTTTTTTTTTAAGATATTCGTTTCATTCCTTTTTTCGGTCCACCCTACGCATTCTCAAAAAGTTAACCTGTGCTAAAGAAAATTGCATTCTTCCCCTGCGAAATATTTCACCCAGACAGCTGCTGAACGTGATGAACCTCCTGTTTCCGGAAGCTTCATCTCGTGCCTTCAAAACTTCCTCCCCATTTCATCCATCTCTCAAACAAGACCCAAAACAACTGGAGTTTATGTAAAGCAGAAAAGGCAATCAAAATAGATGGAAAACCAAGAGTGAAGAAAAAAGAAAAAGGAAACCCTCATGAAACGAAAATATGAAAGCCGATCGTCAGCGTCAGAAGCGAGCCTAGCGTCGTCTTGCGGGTTTCCTGGGAAACGTCGCAGGTGTTGGGTTTTCGCCAGGAAATGACCCGAAATCGAACGCGACCCGACCTGCTATTTAATCGCACCTGCTCTTTAAAAAGGAAAAGAAAGAAAAGAAATGGATATAAATAACGGCTGGCTGCGTGCGGGAACAAGTAATCCGGAACGAAAACCTCTTCCGTGTGCCCATGGGCTTTCCTTCCTGAAAAACCCCAACCGGAAGATCATTCCGCCGCATCCGAAATAAACATCCATCGGAAAGTGTATCCGGTTTCTCGTAATTTTTCCGCTCCGCAGTTTCATCGATCCGAGGAATGAAAGAAACTTTTCTTCGTCTTCTTCTTCTCACACAAGACTAACGAGAGTCTTCTTTGGCTCAAGAAGAGAAAGGTCACACGAGGGCAAGTTTCCTAATGCAATTCGAGAACTGTTTGTAATGAAATTACGAATCGTTACTTTTGTCAACATTTTCAGATTCCTCATCAGTGAAATAGCCTTTAAAAAACAAGATCCACAAGTGGTGACAAAAATGTCAGCCAATCACGAAAACCTCGTTTTAGAAAAAAAAGAAAGAAATTATCTGTCGGAAACCCAATGGAATAGAATTCTGCGCCTCATCGGTAATCAAGAACCTCTCAAAGGAAACCTTTTCAAAAAAATACCCGTTTCACTTCGCCGTTTGATTGATTTCAAAATTAAAATAAACGTTTCCGTATCCAGAAAATTCCATTTTCGCGTTATTTAAAAAAAAAAAGGTTGATGATATCAGCTTCCTCGTGAAAGTCGTAATTCCTAGGGGAACCAATGCCCGGAAAATTATGGTCCATCATCTTGGATCGCAATTTTCAAAATTTATAAACGGTATAAATGGGTTTCAGAAAACGGCAGTTGGTTGCTAAAACGTCAGCCCAACATTTCTGCCGACATCGTTTTGATTAATATTTCAACTGCGCGCTCAGATCAACTCATTGATAAAATAAATTGAATAAAAATGTTACGCATTAAATTTGTAATCGCTTGATTCCTTCGGGTTAGTCTTATTTGGAGTACTGCTGTAATTTTGACGGTGGTCAGACTGACGGCAAAACGTAAACAAATGGCACAGCTAGTGGTATTTCAAAATTCATAAAAAATACAATATTAGAATAAATCGGAAAATGCTTCTGCAGATCAATCGATGATCAGAACAAAAATGACGCCTGATTTTTATATGGTGCAGCATGGTTTTCAACATTATTCAAGTTTGGCAGAAATCACAATGTTAATGATTTAAAGTTGGGAAATATATTCGTAAGACGCTTTTTGATGCAATTCAAAATACAGTATTTAATTTGATTTACCTTTCATTTGGGTCTCGAAATAATTCAAACAATCAAAATTATGTTCTACATTGGGTTCGAAAGTTATTCATAACAGTAAATGAATAATTTCGGAGTGGGTTCCAAATCATTGGTGCCTCAGCACGAAGTTCCTATATTCTCCACTTAGAAAAAAGAAAAGAATACTTCGTGGCCAAAATTTGCGTGTGTTATTGTCACTTGTCCGTGTATTTCCTTCATACACACGTTCAACTTTTTTTTCCTGCCTCCCGAGTTTCTCACCTTTCGAGATTCCAGCTAAAAATCCGAGTTTCGTACATATGTATACGCGTGTAAATATAAAACACAATGGCGCAACGAAGAAAAAAAATTGCAAAAAACGTGTGCCAACCTTTATTTTTCTTGCTGCTCGTGGCCTTGGCCAGGCCCCGACAACACGCCTTGAACTCCTGCTTTAGGCCAGGAGTGGCTGAGCCATCGGGCGCCACGAGGGTCGCCGCATGGTCCGCCACATGTTCAGCCAAAACCGGTCTATGAGTGCCCGATTTCCCGCCGCCTATTTGCTGCTCTTGGTGGCGTCCCTGATGATGATGATGCTGCTGCTGCTGCTGTTGGCGACTCATGTCCGGTGCTGGTGTTGTGATGGATGAGTACTGACAAGCACCCGCCCACCAGCCAGACTCGCTGGAGTAGTTGATGGGCATGTAGCGTAGGCGGCCGCCGGCAAAGGCGGTCCCTTCGCCGACGCCACAAGAAGAGGCGGCACTGGAATCAAGCCCAACTGCGCAAGGCGCCGACCATTTGTCCCTGCTGGACATGCTTTCCGCGCAACGCCTATACGAAAGAAAAAAAACGAGGAAATTATAGGTATGGTATAAAGAATATATATATTTTGCTATAAAATATACATTGTTGAGATAAATTTCAAGTTTTTAAAATATATTTTTGGTCCGTCACTTGACCCGAAAAAAATTTGAGGTCGCATGGTTCCATGAACATCTTTGATCAAAGAATTTTACTCTTGTACGCGTACTGAAAGTAATTATACACGAAATTATTTGAGATCTCTCGCTTCAAATTGTACCTGAAAAGTTTTTCGTTATTCTGACAATATTCAAGATCAGAGAAGCAAAGCTTTTTTCATGTCTTGCGGTATAAAATCTGAACGATAAATCGATTGAAATAAATCATAATAACTGTGGTCAACATGAGAAAAACCTCAATCTTTCAGAACAAACTTTTTGAAAGCAGGAAAACTTTCGAAAACATTGAAGCGTGCTGGAATAAAATCGTGAGAATCCATCTCATTTCTTTAGCGACATTAATTAATTCATGCAAGTTTTTAATTTTGATTTAGAGCACGAATGAAACACTTCCAAAGGTTCTTATGAATTTCAAAACCACCCACGAGATAATCCACTCTTGAAAGCACCACTTGATGCTCAGGATTCTTCCCCCTCAGCATCTGAAATAATTTTAAAAGGAAACTTGGAGAACCTAGAGGAACATTAACAAAATGATTAAATAATTTTGAGTTCCCTTCTCGAAACTGATACATTTTAGACAGCAAAATATATAAGCCATCAGCAAATTGCGTATCCGACCAGCAGATGAAATTGGGCCCCTTTTTATATTGATGATACAGTTTAATACTATATATTTCTTAGATTCATAAAATATTTCAACTACATGTCAATGACCAGCGAGGGAATTTAATTTATCATAAACGCTCTCTCTGAGAAAATAGGATTTCTGCTTCTTGAAAAAAATCCTCTGACGATTACATGACTGAAATCAAAAAAAGGACTATGCAAGGAATAAACATCAGCTACGATATATTTTAAATTTACAAAATTAACCGTGAAACCCATTAGGAAGCACAATTCAGCGAAGTCGAACTATAAAAATAAACTCGGAATCAGCTTGGGTCTCTAAAACTGACATGAAGCAAGTCAAATTGAAGTAACATTTTAAAGTTACACAGACATACTTCAGCTTTTGTTGGAATATATCAGGAAGAACAAACTCTTGTCGAAATTTTAAAAATTCACTGTTATAGTAGGATCTACCAGATTTTTTGCTACACCACTAAAAGAAATATTACCAATCGCGATTGAAGCGTTCGTCAATTAAGCTTAGGGCCATGAATTCCGGCATCCATCAATGTAGTCGAGATGAAAGCCTCTTCATCAACCCCCCTTTTTGATAAAATTAAGACACAAAACAGGCTTTTCCCAGGGTCTTTGCGATTCATGCAATCGATAGATCAAATGTCCCACGGACCACATTAATTGCAGGGTTCGGGGTGCGATAAAAGGGGATGAAAGGCGAGGCGTCCTTGAATGCGTCATCGTCGGGTCCTGAATCAAGCGGGAAGGGTACCGATTCTGGGACAGGCCGAGGAATGGGCTCCATTCAAGGATTTCCCTCCCGGAATGCGGCTTTGACTTTTGTCTAAATACCACGGTTAATCCTCGATTCATCGCACCGAAAACTAATAATATATTGCATTCACAACATCCCTCCAATATTCCTCACAGTACTTTTCGCTGATTCCCATGTGGGCGATGAAGAGAACCGGAAGTTAGTAATGACTGTTTGCTGGGCTCATTTTCTTGACATTCTTCAACAGCCAAAAATGCATTCAGAGTTATGTCGCGGTGCATAATGTCAAATGACGTGCGAAAAAAAATCGAATTCAAACTCGGGTTTTCTTCGCAAATTTCGAAGCAGACACAAACGCCAATTTGTAGAATTATTTTTATTGAATATTATAAAATTTCACATGATACAATTTGGCTATGTGTCACTCGTGTGTTCAACGATGAACATGCTGAAAGAAAAGGACGAGAAATTCCGTGGAAACTCGTATTAACATTCTTCATTGCATTTCTCCTAAATTCAATTTTTTCGTGATTTCCTCTTGCCTCTCCACGGCCACTATATGTAGGATCCATCCATTACTGATCAAATAAATGAAGAGCAACGAAGATTCAAACCAGCAAGAGGAAAAATAAGCGGAGAAAAAAGGTTCAGGCTGCATAACTAACAGGATTTATTTCTTTACCGCCAATTTCCTAACGAAATTGAAGAGCATTAATAATCGGATCAGGGTGAAAAACAAGAACTTGGATAAAAGCATCTAGGTTGCATCATTAACGGGGAATAATTTTGTCGGCCCTAATTCACCGAGAAAATCCACCCAGCACCAACAGCTTGAAAAAAAAAATACTTCGGAGGGGAAAAAAAACATGCAGGGTCCAGAACTAATGGGATTCATTTTTTCATCACTAATTTCCCAGCAATCTCATTTTCCCTTCCCTTCTATCCAGTTGGACATGCGAAAGAAAATGAAAGCAAGAAAACCTCGGCGAAATTAATTACGCGGGGGGTTTACTCGCCGCGCTGCTCCATTGAGACGCGCCTTGAGTTGAGCCGATTGACCCGAATCTATCGCGGGATTATTGTCACCCCAGAACCCGGCGAGGGGGTATTACTATCTTTTTTTTTTCTTCCTCTCCGTGCTTAGCTCCCTTTCACCCCTAATTGCTTCTTTTCGTGACGGGGCATAATGGATTTCTGGGCCACTATATATAGTGGAGGGATGCGTGTGTCCGTTTAATATCTTGGTGTCGTTTTATTGGCTGTTGACGAAGGGTGAGGAAAGATATGGACGTTGGGTGCATTTTTATGATTGGGTTCGGGTTTATAGGTGCTTGTTATCACCCGTTTTTGAATTATGCGAAGGTACAATGACCAAGATCTTGAAATAATGAGAAAATAACTGAGTGCCTCAGCCGAATGTGATTTAGTCACATTGCTTCAGTAAGTTCCCAGTTTCTTTGATCTTGCTTTGATTTCGAAAAATTGTACTCCAAAATTTTCACTTTGCAAGATAATGAAGCCCAAGACAATCAAGAGAAATAATCCAAAATTTATTAATATTCATACGATCTTCCAAGAACCCGCAAAAGCCCTTTGACAGTGAAGCATTCAATTTACACTGTCTACAAAATGTTCTCCTAAGAACCCTCAGGGCTTTTCTCAAACTTCAAAGGGGATCTACAAATGCCCAGGAAAGAATGATGAAGGGGGAGTAAACTAGGGTTTAAGATGAATAAATAAGGTTCACGATCAATGGGCAAAAATCCAGTGTTCATATGTGAAGGTATGCATTTACGGAGACACTTTTTTTCGCACGAAAAATTTCATTATCAAGAAATGAAATATTTCTTTATGGGATCTTTCACAAAATTAATCTCAACAAAAGTATAGTGGAGGGATGCGTGTGTCCGTTTAATATCTTGGTGTCGTTTTATTGGCTGTTGACGAAGGGTGAGGAAAGATATGGACGTTGGGTGCATTTTTATGATTGGGTTCGGGTTTATAGGTGCTTGTAATCACCCGTTTTTGAATTATGCGAAGGTACAATGACCGCAAGATCTTGAAATAATGAGAAAATAACTGAGTGCCTCAGCGAATGAGTTTCAGTCACATTGCTTCCGTAAGTTCCCAGTTTCTTTGATCTTGCTTTGATTTCGAAAAATTCTACTCCAAAATTTTCGAAAACTGACCTTTGCAAGATAATTAAGCCCAAGACAGTCAAGAGAAATAATCGAAAATTTATTAATATTCATACGATCTTCCAAGAACCCGCAAAAGCCCTTTGATAGTGAAGCATTCAATTTACATTGTCTACAAAATGTTCTCCTAAGAACCCTCAGGGCTTTTCTCAAACTTCAAAGGGGATCTACAAATGCCCAGGAAAAAATGATGAAGGGGGAATTAAATAGGGTTTAAGATGAATGAATAAGGTTCACGATCAATGGGCAAAAAATCCAGTGTTCATATGTGAAGGTATGCATTTACGGAGACACTTTTTTTCGCACGAAAAATTTCATTATCAAGAAATGAAATATTTCTTTATGGGATCTTTCACAAAATTAATCTCAACAAAAGGCTCTTTAAAAAATATTTGTTAAGATGGTCATGTCAAAAATATTAAGGCTTGGAAAACTTCTCTCTGCCATCCTCGACACAAGGTAATCTAATCAATTGAAAAGTCCCACAGAAAATAATGGGTAAAATTGATCTTTCGAAAATATTCAAGAAATTTCGCTCCACATTGAATAAGTTGTAGTTTTCGTTTTTGAAAATGCACCAGAGATATTTTTTTAAATCTTGAGCATTTGGAACTTTGAAATAAAAAATTAC